GATTGCCCAAGATCATAAGAGGATAAATCCCCAATTCCTCCATCAATATGGGACTCTTAACATCCGCACCCCCTCACTCCTAGGAGATTGGACATCTAGAAGACGGACAAAATAATGTGGGGGCCTAAAATTGGGTAAACAAAGAATCAGAATGGGACTGCCCAGAAGATTTTGTACCTAACTCAACCCAAAAAGCTAGCTCAAGAGGTGACAATGACCCAAAATCATATAATGAGACAACAATCAATTTCCTCCACCAATGTGAGAACTTAACAACCACAAACAAATCTTTCCCTTTTAACTACTATATCTTCAGTCTTCTAATCTATCTTAAATGTCCGCTGCATAGCTGTCCTCTCTTCCCTTCCACAAAAAGAAGAGCAAAAACTCATTGCAAGCATAGTGTCTTACAGGAGGGGGGAATTGAATTGGAAATATTTTTCTTTTGTTCAAGAGATTGAGTTGGAAGACATCCATGAAAGATTGGGGTTAACCTCAATTTCCTTCAGATCTCACCTAAAATACGAGACTATTTATACATCTCAAGAGAGTAGAAACTAAACAGCCCTTGCTACCTCGCTCAAAAGAAAAGATGAAGAAAAAGGATAAGCAAAAGGAAATGTGGTACTTACACGATTGTGCATATCTTGTGGATCGATCTGAGGAAGCATATATATAGCTCTTGTGATGGCATGAACCATAGTTGTAGGATCTGGCGCAGCCAGAACAACCATATCATCTGGAAGAACCTGGACAAGAGGTACAAAACATGATAAATAATAACGAACAACTTACAAAATATAGGCAAGAAGATCTTGAACTATTAACTAGTCAAGCAAAGAGAAATGAATCATGGACATGCCTCTGGAACACCTCCTACACGTGTACTGACTGTTAATAATCCGCAACTTGCAGCTTCCAATATAGCGATGCAAAATGCTTCTGTTAAAGAACTGGCACAGTAATGCAAGAAATAGGAGCATAAATGAGGATTAGAAACGGGGAAGGTGGAAAACTGGTTGTTGTTCAACCACAAATCAGGCATGTTTAAATATCCTCAGATGATATTCTTTTGTGACTGCTTTTGCAGAAGAAGAATGTGTAAGGAGCAATTTCAATGTTTTCTTTATTATTTTTGATGATTCTGGAAGGAAGGATGAAACCGATGAATCCAATTTAGCTTAACAGCTGTGACACAAGTTCTAAGGAGCCACACATCATTCATGGTTTTGATATTTCAATCTCACATTTGCAGTTGAATATAAAAATCAACTATGTAAAGATTTTTTTTTATTGTGCCACCTAGTTGATTCCTTTATCTTATTAAGATCACATACTCAATGTTGCAACTTGAAGCATCTTTTTGTTGAGAAAAAAAAGAGCCAAGGAGGATGCAGAATCGACTACGTGATCTTAATGAGAATTACACTTCCATGGATTCTCCAACTGAATCCTTTCCCTTCAAGATGTTTGAATTCTACACTGACTTTTCCAAAATGTCTATTCCATCAATCATATGGACATGGGAAGTACAAACAAAAGACATTCCAATTGGCCGGTAGCATTCATCTTTGTAAAGTTTACTTATTAAAGAAATTCAATATCATTTTTCTTCTACAGTTCATGATTATAACATTCAACAAACATGTACAGACCAACAAAGCATCACATTTCAGTAGATTATCACAGACTGATGCAACCAAAGTGCGGTCTAGCGGTCAATGAAGCTGGGAGTGGAGATGACGGTTCAAATTCTAGCATAGGACAAAAAAGGTTGATTTCTAGTCATCCATCTCCACCTTGGTAGACTCAATTACCCGATATCTACTTCGGTGAGAAGTAGCATTATACCTGGTGGATAAGTCGAGGTGTGTGCAAGGTTTCTTAGACACCGCCAATATAAATAAATTTTAAGAAAACTGTGAAAAATTAAGCAACATATTTTGTGTATCAAATAAGGGAAACTTTGCATTACAAACAATTATCATAATTAGTGGATCAACATAGACTTGGTGTATGTAAATAAGCACCTAGCATCATTTATTCTGTATCAAGACAAGGAAAACCTTTGCATAACCAAGTCTTTCATGACCCCCCCAAAAAAAGAAGAAGGGGAACATATGTTTTTTCAAGGCTGCACAAAAAGAGCTCAATATCATATAAAGAAGAGGAAGAGATGCTTTCCACTGACAACGCCCAACAAATTCCTCTTTGGTCATATAACTTATCGAAATTTTGCAAAAAAGCACATATCAAAAGAATTACTACCTACGGAAAGAAAAATATTGATGTAAAGCATCTAAAATTTCCAGAGAACGAAAAACAGAGAAGTTTTAAAGAATTTAAGATAAAGAAACTGAATAGAATCATCAAGCAACAAAATAGAAGTGACTTTGAGCTATAAGATAAAATATGTAGATCATGATTGTATAAAGGATCTCTTCTTCTTTGTTCCTGTCAAAATTAAACCAGAAGACAAGATAGCATTTCTTAAGAAGGAAACTAAGACAGATGTCAAATAGAGGAACTTCAAAGAATAAAATGATATAAGTTGTAGGGTGTACATGATAACTCTTGAAGGTCTCGCACCTGTTCAAAAATATATGGCCAGTTATTAGTACAGACCGTACTTTAGCATGAGGGACAGCCCCCAACATATCAACACGGTCTTGAAGAGAGTGTTTTTCCCTCATTTCTTCCAGACGCACTCGTTTGGGTCCATCTCCTCCAACAATGAAGCGAACCTTAGAAATGCATCCAAATGAGTTGCCAAAGTTCAGAATTCATAAACAAGGTCAAATTCCATAGAGTAGTTTTGTAACGAAGACCATGATGATAAAGAACCACTTACATTGGGATGCAAACGGCATACTTCAGGGATCACTTCAACGAGTAAATCTGCTCCTTTCCGATAGACTAACCTACTTATCACAACAATTACAATTTCATCCCTGCTGAGTCGCTCTGGAGCAGGAGTAAACATGGCTGTGTCCACAGCATTTGGAATAACATAGACCTTTTCAGGCGGCAGACCAGACCTTAAAACTGTATTCTCTTTGCTTGTGTGAGAAACACATATAGCCTGAGTTACATCGGCTAGAGTAAACTGTAGCACCTTATTCATGTGAATACTTCCAACATCTGAAAACCCATAGAGAGAATGATCCGTGAATACAACTTTGTAACCCATTGTGCGAGCATGCATTAGAGCTTCATGACATAAGGTTGAGAAGGCTTGATGTCCATGTACCAGCGATATCTTTTCCCTTATCAGAATTGTCCTAGTAATTGAAAGTGTTCCAAAGAAGGTTGGCAATGTATTTTGCATGAGAAACGGCTTCCAAGGGACATAATAAACTTTCAGCCCATTTGTCATATATCTTACTCCAGAACGATTCTGATAAGCATGAGTCATAACTACCACCTGAAATTTATACAAAGGAACAAAAAATGAATTCATATAAAGTATCTGATTATAACAAATCAAGCTCCTATCTCTCTCTCAATTTCACTCTTTCTTGACAATTTTTTTACTATGCAGATCAAAACTAAGTCCCTTCCAGGTACAGACAAAGTAGATTATCTTCACGGGGAACAAAAAAATTAATCTCTTATCAATCATATTCAATCAATAACACTTTAAGACAGGAGACTGTGGTTACTGACCTTGTGGCCTTCCTTAATCAAGCATTGTGATAAATAGTATATATGATTCTCCACACCACCAAAATTGGGGTAGAAAAAATCTGAGACCATTAAAATTCTATGTTTTTCCGGTTCACCCATGATAACAGATCACCACGGACGCTTCTGCTGCAGAAGAAACCATTTACACAACAATATAAGAAAAATGCCAAAAAAACAACAACATATAATTTTACTGCATAAGATTGTAAGGCATGATTCAGTTGATAGAACTTACCCTATTTTGGCCAATCAAGTTTATCTGATTTTAATGTTGTTTCTTCAGCCTGTAACTGAATAGAGCTACCATTAACAATCATTTCCCAACCTTAAAACACAAAATCAAATGACATAGCATAATATCACGTTTGATGCTTTTTTTTTATGACAAGGGAAACCGCTGCAGCTACCCTTGGGGTGTGCACAGGTGCAATAGCTCGCAAACCACGTAGATATCACGTTTGATGCTTAAACCACTTCGTTCCAAATTTTTCCCAAAATGTCACTATGCATAGACATTTCTACTATAGATCATAGGATATCTACGACACTGTGCAAAGCAAAGCCACTAACCAAAAAATAAGAAACTCAAAATTACAAATCTCCGAAAGAAGCAAAAACGCCCAAATTCAGTTCAAACATACAAAGATATATCATGCATGAGAAAAACGAAGCTAAATTACTAACATATATACATCCGAAGGCAACAAATCGCTCAGAAAAGAAATAAATTCGACAAATTAAACGAAGAAACACAAGTCGAGATCACACCCAAAAGCAGAGCAAGCACCTAGTAGAACACAGAGAGAAACAGTAAACCGAAAAGATGAAGGAGATACATACATACATACATGGGAAGAGAAAAAGAAGTGAGCTCTACAAATCTGACCAAGGCGATGTAAAATGTTAATGGCGTTTCTATGTGTTTATTATGATATTATTATTGTCACTAATTGAAATTTTCTTAGTATTAGTTTGTTCCTACTTGCTAAGCACATGTTTTTTAAAAATACTTTTTTCCTTTCAAAAATCAATTATATACTTTAACACTTGCAATAAAAAGTCATTTAATTAAATTTATAATTACTTATTTTCTTTTAATTTATGATGTGTTTAATTTATAATGTGTGGTGCATATATAAATATATCATTAATCTAATGATTTTGAATCTATTTTAAGACTCGATCTATCAATATTTATTTAACTATATTTTTTATTAGACAAGTGTTTATGTACATCATAGATGAGCGAGGAGTAAATTGTCAACTTACCAGTCTTTAGCTCGCCGAGTTCGAGTTCAATTAAAACAAATCATGTTTTTTAATTGAATTGTAATCAAAATTCTTCCAATTGTTATTGATTCTTTTTATTATTATTATTAAATATATGGTTTGTTTAAAGTAAGGCAATTTATGCATGTCCTTTTTCTACAATATATCAAAAATAAATACTTAATTGAGATATTTGGGTATTTCTCCTTGGCCCTGCTTTGAGGTTTCGCCAGGATTCTCTCACAGAGCCGCCTCACACTGTACCCGCAACCCGGTCCACAACCCATTTTCCCTTTCATTCCGGTTCATCTTCTCCATCACCGGCAGAAGGCGGAAAGTGGAGAACGAAGATGACTGAAGTCGCGAGCAACGTTGTACACGAAATCCTAGGCGGACGAGCTCAAGATGTAGATCAGCCTATTATCGACTATATTATCAATGTCGTCGCCGATGAAGATTTCGATTTTGGTCACGACGGTGAAGGTGCTTTTGAAGCCCTTGGAGAGCTACTTGTCGATTCCGGTTGTGTTACTGACTTCTCCGAATGTCGTGCGGTATTAATACTTCCATTCCATGCTCAATTTCGTTATTGCTTAGGCTGAGTTTCATATTTTTCTGCTCGAAATTTGTTAGATTGAATTGATTCTGAAAGATGTGCTTATTATACTGTTAAGATATTTTTCTGCTCGAAATTTGTTATATTGAATTGATTCTGAAAGATGTGCTTATCATACTGTTAATAGTTTGGATTGTTGACTAGGAACATAATTTACGAACTAAATAACATTTTTGAAACTTGTGGTCTAAATAAGCCATAGACATTTGTTTGACTACTATCTATGAGTGGAAATGAGAACTTTAGAGTTAAATACTTTTTGGATATAGGAAAACTACCATTCTTTTTAGTATTTTAAGAGTGAAAAGTGAGAAGTTTAAAGTTGAACCTCCAGGCATGACCCAAGCTAGTCTAAACAAGGAGAAGAACACAATTCAAAAGTCTTTTCAAGTTAGTCTAAACAAGGAGAAGAACATATTCCAAAAGTCTCTTGCTACTGTAAACAACGACAGGTTTTGATGAATAAAATTTGGACTTAAAAGTTAAGTGATTATTAGCTTCAGTTTATCATTTATGAAGCAAGGATTGTGTGATTTAGTTAGAGAGCTTATGATGGCCTCAAAAGAAAATCATTTGTAAGTGAATTTGGTCTGAAATAGAGAGTGACCAACACTGTATTGGACTTAGATGTTGTCAGTTGAATTGATTTGGTAATAGCTCATTTATGATTAGAGGACTTGTTAAACCAGAGAAATAAACAGCCATTTAAGGGGACATAGAATTCAAATGGGTGAATAACTCTCATCATAGAGCAATTTGTGAACTGAAAAGTTGAAGTATAATATGGCGAACAAAAATACAAGTAATTTCTTAGTACCAGAATTTATGGTTATACCAGCATTTACTATTGTGATTGTTAGACTCCTCTATGTTGGTCTTTGTTGCATGCCGTTGTGTTTATACATTGAGTCGTCTGCAATCTATCTTCAGTAGCATTTTCCAACCATGACAGGTTTGTAGCAAGTTGTCTGAGAAGTTAGAGAAGCATGAATTGGCTAAACCCCAACCGACGGTGAGAAGCTTAAAAATGCCGCTGAGAATGTTTGATGGAATGGATGAAGAGGAAGCTCCAAAGAATAAAAAGCCAGAACCAGTTGATGGTCCTTTGCTCACAGAACGTGACAAGATTAAGATTGAAAGAAGGAAGAGGAAAGAGGAACGCCTGAGAGAGGTGAGTGAAAAAATGATAATCTTGATCGTAATCAGAATGAACCTGTTTGACACAAATATTGGTTGTTAAATAAATATGTTGGGAAGACTGCTCTTCTTGTCTATGAACTACACTGATTTGAGTTAACACTTCACTGAGTTTCCATTTATCATTCTAATGGGGTGTGTATGTGTGTGACATTTCAAAATACTCCTTTTGTTGGATAATGGTTGTCTTCGTGAAGTTATGAGACAGAATAAATGTAATCACTTTCCTATTACTGCTTTAAAAATTGTAACCGGTAACCCTCTACTTTCTGCCATGTTGATGAAAAGAAGAGGGGAAAAAAAAAGAAGAAGATGAAAGTGGCTGGTTTACTCCTTCATTCTTTTAATCTGTATGGCTTGATTCTGCAGGCAGAATACCAAGAACACTTGAAAGAAGTGGAGGAAGTGAAAGCTGGTATGCCTTTAGTGTGTGTGAATCATGATGGTCAGGGTGATGGACCAACTGTTAAGGATATCCGTATGGAGAACTTCAATATATCTGTCGGTGGTCGTGAACTTATTGTCGATGGTTCTGTCACGCTTTCTTTTGGAAGACACTACGGTATGCTTGATTATCTTATTGAAAAATAAATGAAAACTCATTCCTATGTACTTTGATTTTGCATTTTCTTAGACCTTTTAGTATCAAGTAGTTTGTATCTCATCGATATGGTATTACTCCCTCCTTGCTGATAAGAACTACCCACTTTTGCAGAGTCAAATCATGAGTACATGACATCTATCAACATGTTAGTATATAGAAATAATTCGATTTCTGTTTAAATTGATAAAGCTTATCTAAAAGAAAGTTAAAAATAGTAGTTTGGAATTTGAGAAGTTGGGATGTTAGTCGAAAATTCACATCAGATTGGATACAATACGAGATTGACCCAGTTTATATTCATTCATTTAGAAGTGTTGGGGAGAAAAAATTTCCATCAAGGGGAGAAGTCAAGAATATTGGGTTGGGCTAAAAGGAAAACATGCCATTTATCAGAGGGTGCGAGTGTCTATCTATCTTGATAAGCATTTAGGGGTCATTTGGTAGGATGTATTACATCTCTAATACATGTACTAGTCATGGTATTATTTAATCCTTTATTTGATAGGATTTTCAGCCTGTGTATAACTAATCTATTAGCTATACACCCTATTCAGTATTATAAGTTGTATAACTAAGACATAGCAAATTATGGTATTAGCAATATGAGGGCTATTAATACATGGATAAGCATGGTAAAAGACATAGTTGCCCTTAATAAACCGAACCAAACAGTGGATAAGAGATAATCTCCGTGTTATCAATCCTAGTATTACTAATACATTCCATTAATCTACTCAGTGCTATTCTTATATACTCTACCAAACGACCCCTTAATGTCTTAAACAAGTAAGTCATCATGCACACATCCATTATTTTGTCACTGGGAAGAAGACTGGAATACATGAATTGGCATAAATGCAAAGGGGGTGAAACTTGGGGGAACATATTTCGTCAAACAACAACATAGGCTATAGCCAGTGTATATTGGCATTTTTTGCTGTTTATTTATTAATTAAATTGATGACTTTCTCAAAAAAAAAAACATAGCCTATAGCCAGCGGCGTAGTTATGTTTTATGAATCCACGGCCTTACCTAAATCTCTAATTTGGATGCAGGTCTTATTGGAAGAAACGGTACAGGGAAAACAACTCTCCTGAGGCATATGGCTATGCACGCTATTGATGGTATTCCCAGGAACTGCCAGATATTGCATGTTGAGCAAGAAGTGGTTGGTGATAATACCTCAGTTTTGCAATGTATTCTTAACACTGATATGGAGAGAACCCAACTTCTGGAAGAAGAGGCTCGTCTGCTTGAATTACAGGTTAGAAACAGATCAATGGCTAAGCTTTTATGTCATATTATACTGTTTATTTTTAATATACCTTCGTATTTTGTTCTCATTGGATCAAGTATATTCCCATTCCTTGGCATTTTCATGATTTTCTAGAGAGTGACCGACTTAGAAGGCGAATCTGCAAAGAGTGATAAGTTGAATGGAGGTATCGACAAAAATTCGCAAGCAAAAAGGCTTGAAGAGATATACAAAAGACTTGATTTCATTGATGCTTACTCGGCTGAGTCACGTGCAGCAACTATACTATCGGTTAGTTTGACTTTGACTAGTAATCCGATTTGCAAGCTTATGATGACATCAGTCTCTCTGTAACTGTTGAGAAAGTTTGTTCACTTTATATATCTTCTTGATGCTCTTTTTACTGAAACCACTTTCTTCATAAAAATAAAGTTTATTCACTTTATACACTATGTTTAACTAAAACAGAGTTTGCATTTGATTTATAATATCGCACACAAATGCTGTACGTTAGAGTTTAATTTATAATGTATGAGCAAGATTCAGTCTACTAATTCATGTACCTGGGATGCCTGTTCCTTTCCTTCTGTTTCTACCATGATTATGCTTCCGCCTACTTTGTCTTAGGAATGTGTTTTGGATATGGCTTGAAAGTATGGAAGCTAGTCTCAAGCTAATCTTGCTGTTTTTGCCTCTTCTTAGAGTTTGAGTTGTCTAAGCTTCTGTCCTAACTTCATGTTATCCGAACTATCTTGCTGTTTTGGCCTCTCCTTGGAGTTTAAGTTGTATGTTGAGATTATTTCCCTTATAATTTAATGTTGTCTTGTCGTTTTAAGCTGTGGATCTGTGTACTAACATCTTAAATAGGAAGTTTTGAATGGGGGAATATGCTAGAAGTTAATCTATCTCTGGCAATTGAAAGTTAGAACTCCTTTATTTAAGAGGCTGGGTTTTATTCTGCTGTAGTTTTGGCGTTCTTCAAGTTGGATGCTTGTCCACCTCAATTTTTCTTATGATGTTTTGCCTATTGATCATTTGTGTTCACACCATTTGTAATGTATAGTCTAGTTCTCATTGGTGGCTATTACTTCCAGGGTTTGAGCTTCTCTCCAGAAATGCAAAAGAGAGCAACCAAAACATTTTCTGGAGGATGGAGAATGAGAATCGCTCTTGCTCGGGCATTGTTCATTGAACCTGATCTATTGTTGCTTGATGAACCCACGGTGTGTTATTTCTTCTCGAGGATGTAGATGTACAGCTATTCAAATAATGAACTTCTGTTTTCTTTTGCATGAAGAAATCATAGAACTTATGTTTTCCTTCCTTGCAGAATCATCTTGATCTGCATGCTGTCTTATGGCTGGAAAGTTACCTGGTGAAGTGGCCGAAGACATTTATAGTTGTGTCTCATGCTAGAGAGTTCTTGAATTCTGTACGTCCTTTCTTCTCTTTGACCTAAAACAATAGTTGGGTTCAGTATGTTGATGTTTGTTTGACATCTCATAAACCTATCTTTGCTTCTTTCTTCAGGTAGTCACAGATATCATCCATCTACAAAATCAGAAATTGAGCACCTTTAAAGGAGACTATGATACATTTGAAAGGACACGAGAAGAACAAGTTAAGAATCAACAGAAAGCATTCGAGGCAAATGAACGTACAAGGGCCCACATGCAGGTCTTTCCCAATTATATTTACCTTTTTTTTTTTGAGATGATAACTTTAATTACATTCACTTTATTGGTAGACTATTGCAAACAGATTATTTGCGACCTTATTTGCAGATTTCTTGTCTCGCTGTTTAATGCTTTGATACATTTTTTTGGCTATAATGCTGTGCAGACCTTTATTGACAAGTTCAGGTACAATGCAAAGCGTGCATCTCTTGTTCAGTCTAGAATTAAGGTATGCATTCATTGCTGCTCCTATATATCTTGATCCAATTGTTTAATAATTTAATTAGGTCCACTTTTGATTCCCTAGCATGCCATGATCAGTACCTGAATCGTTTTCCTTGAATTTGACAGGCACTGGAACGAATTGGTCGTGTGGATGAAGTCATCAATGATCCTGAGTACGCATTCATTCCTTTAACACATTGCTCCTATATGTTTGTGTATTTTAACTCTCTTATGATGTTTAACTTGTTATAACCTGCATCGATAAAATTCCGATTTCTGTCATGTTGCATTTTTATAATTAAATGAACTCATTGTTATTTTGCATATGATATATGCAGCTACAAGTTTGAGTTCCCTTCTCCTGATGATAGACCTGGCGCTCCTATTATAAGCTTCAGGTTAAACATCTCTTAGTCTGTGGCTAAGACATTCTTGTGATCTCTTGTCAGACAGCAAATCTCAGCTAATTAACTTCTTACCTTATTGTAACTAATGCAGTGACGCATCCTTTGGATATCCTGGGGGACCAATATTGTTCAAAAATTTGAATTTTGGAATAGATTTGGATAGCAGAGTAGCAAGTAAGACCTTTATTGTCTACCAATCAAGTATTTTCAAGTTCACTTAACTGGTGCAAACCTTTGTAAACTGTACGTATGGGTCAGTAATATGTCTCTCTGCATTGACGTTGAGTTTTTCTGTTGGGAAGTAAAATTAGATCTCTTTATTTGTGAGTTAGGTAGTATGTGGTTTTGGCATGTGTATTTTTATAATTGTTTTTTAATCATTTTTACTGTTTTACATATCATGGACCTTGTCTCACCTTATGTATTTTCCAGTGGTTGGTCCTAATGGTATTGGAAAGTCAACAATACTTAAGCTTATTTCTGGGGAGCTTCAACCAACCTCAGGGACTGTTTTCCGCTCTGCTAAGGTAAACTTTATTTGGCAAAAACTTACGAGATTTTGTGGGTTTTTTTTTATAAAAAAAAAATCACTTCCAATGTCTACTAGTTCTGTCCTTCACACCATATATCAATATTGTTCTGGTCAATTTGTGTTTCAGCCGTACGTTCTCTCATTGCAATTCCTGTCACCTTTTAGTTATTAAAAGTCTATAGACTAATGATTCTGTATGAGCAAATGCTAGTGGTGTTCTTTTGACCTTATAATTATTTGTGCAGGCAAATGTTTCATTTTGCTCTATTCAGTTACTTGATCTTAATGCATTCTAAATGCTCTTCACTTTTTGTTTAGGTCCGTATTGCTGTATTTAGTCAGCATCATGTTGATGGGCTGGATCTGTCCTCAAATCCCCTCTTATACATGATGCGTTGCTTTCCAGTAAGTTCTCCTAATCAATGATGTATTTTCTTGTAAATTCTAAAATGTATGTGTAATAAGTTCTCTCTAAAGAAGGTGGGTCAACAGTTGATTTTTCTGAATTTATTTGTGTCCGAACTCCTGATAAGACATTTTTAAAGGTTTAATTGCTCCCTTACATCTCATATTGCCAAAGTGAATCTGCAAGTCATCTTTTTTAATGTATTGACCTTGCTCTGGCTTCCTGCAGGGAGTGCCTGAACAAAAATTACGTGGTCATCTAGGTTCATTTGGTATAACCGGAAATCTTGCTCTTCAGCCCATGTACACTTTATCTGGTATGTTAGCATTCTACTTGTGTTTTTTTTTTTGATAAAGTAAATAAATGATATTAGGAAGCATCAAGAAGATGCAAAGTCACAAAACACTATGTGCTAGAAAGCTGCTCCAAACAGCAATATATGGAGCTAGCTTGGCAAAAACTACTCTACTGTACTAGAGATATACTTGTGTTCTTGTTTAGATTACAATGATTCAGTTCCGCCTTCTGTCACTTGGGGTCAAGAGTTGTGGCATAATAACTTATAGTCCACATTTTGGATTGATCTATGGGATCTCAGGTGGCCAAAAAAGCAGAGTTGCATTTGCAAAGATAACTTTCAAGAAACCTCACATATTGCTTCTTGATGAGCCGTCAAATCACTTGGTAAGTTGAATTCTACTTGTTTTAGTTTCTTATTCACCATCTTTTCTTCATACATCCGTGATTTTCATGTCTTCTTGTTGCCGAATAACATACTTGGTCGGAGTAAAAAGTGGAACATAGAATGCCCGAAAAAAAACTGGCGCGTTTGTGGGTTTTAGGAAGGGCCTGGTGTGGTTTCATGATTTTTTCTTGATGGCATTTAATTTCAACAGCTAAAGCAAAGGATGTACTTAGTGCTTCATTTATCCAAAGCTTCTTGCATATGCAATGGCATTATCTAATCGAGTTCTATGCAGGATCTGGACGCTGTGGAAGCCTTGATACAAGGTCTTGTCTTGTTCCAAGGAGGCGTCCTGATGGTACTATAAAACTTCTGTCAATTATTTTTTTGGCTAAATGGTAGCATGTTTTTGGTTTTGCTGGTGTTTAATGGGAGCTGCTACGTGATGTTATTTACAGGTCAGTCACGATGAACATTTAATATCTGGCAGTGTTGATCAACTCTGGGCTGTCTCTGAGGGCAGAGTGACGCCTTTTGACGGGACATTCCAAGATTACAAGAAAATATTGCAATCATAAACACTTCTGCTGCTTTCTGAAGTGAACGAACTATAATTAGTTACTTATGGCCTAAACCCCTACTTTTATGCAGAGACCACATGTTCGATGTAAAATTTCGAAACCAAATTCTGAAGAATGTTCTAAAACAAATAGTGATTTTCTACTCCTACTTGCTTCTATTTACACTGTCCAAATTGGACAAAACATTTTCTCGATTTGATGAACTTTATTTCATCAATTTTATATTAACAAATCAATGAAATAAAAGTGTTATTACGACAATTTGTGAGTCAAGAGTGAAAGAGCAAAATAACCACCATCAATCAACATATATTTCCAATGTCATTGCTAGGCTATGGGTGGCAAATGGACGAATTAAGCTGCAAACATATCGAAACAATGACACAACTGTACATCCAACTCAATGCACTTACCTTAATCAAGTTAAGATCGAGTATATGAATTTTTACTAATATGTTCTCAGATACGAAATTATGTTCTTGCTTACGAATCCAACTCAATGCACTTATATGAATTTTTACTAATATGTTCTCAGATACGAAACTATGTTCTTGCATACGAATCGAGGAAATCAATAATCGGAGAGATAGAACAAAACTAATTGCGCATCCGGGGAATCGAACCCCGGTCAGTACCGTGGGAGGGTACTATGATACCACTCTCCCTATTTCCTACATTACAAAATTCAGCTTAATTAGAAAAATGGTAAATATAGGTCTGTTAAAATGCATTCACTTCCTTCAATCTGACTTGAACCTTTGGATAGACTCTGCACAAAGTATGGTACAGTCATTCTAATCAACTCGGTCCTTCCAGCATACTAACATGTATAGACATCGACGAATAATGTACAACTTAGCTCTTTTATCTTTCAAAGTCTTTTTTCTTGTTATACAAACTTCGACTCTGGCTCTGGCTCTGGCTTTGGCTTTGGCTTTCGCATTGTTGGATGAAGTTGAAGTTTCTTCCATTTTCTGTGAATTGCTTTCAATTTTGAGAATTACTAGTAGTTTCTTTTAGAACTTCCATGTGAGTTTATTTATACAATAAATATAAAAGGATGCCTCAGTTTCATCAGTTTTTTATATATAAGTTATATTTTGTTGAAGTCTTTATAGACCTTTTTTTGGCAGTAAACCAGGGGCCTTGTTTCCTGCTTTTCAGTGACTCTTTTCTTTTTTACTGCTGGCATTGCCAGTAAGCCTGCTTTTATTGTTAACTATTACCTATAATTAAATGGATGGTTGAGCTGAATTTAGATTGATTAAATCGTTCATTTGAGTTAACAAGAGTTGTTCGGATAATAAACATCCTCATTATAAATTTGAAGATTGTGAGTTGCGAGTCACCAAGAAAACAAAAAGGTGGGAGCTCCTAAGATGGCTAAGAAAATGAATATGCCATTAATCCGTTCAATGTTATTTGAGTTGTGCTAAGCAATTTTTATTATGATTAGATATAACATATCAAATAAACAAAACTATTTTAACAGGGTTCTTTATAAGTTAATTTGAGCTACATATCAATCCAACTTTTGAAACAGCGGAATTGAACGGATAAATTTGGACCATCTTCACGACCAATAAACTTGATTTTGCCCGTTTAAATTTGAACAGATTGGATGAGTTATATTTTAGTAGACTAATTTAATTTATCATGATCAATAAACTTGGTTTTTTGGTTAACTGTAGCTATCTGTAACTGTTACTCCATTCTCGAGGACACAAAGGGTCGTTTTGGATAGCCATTTTTTTTTATTTCACTATATTTTTCACTCTACAGAGTTCACACTTATCCTAACATGACACGAGTCCATTCATTTGCAGTCAAAAGTTTCAGTGAAAAATAACGGAATTTTGAAATAACGATAAAATTGTTATTATGTGATTATAATTTGTCCACGAATTCAACCTATGAATTCAATTAATGATGTCGTCAAGGCTGGTGGTCTTCCTCGCATAAACTTGAATTGCACACGATCTTTACTCAGATCTCGTATGAACATGAAAAAATTCATGCATCGTACTATTTATAAGTACATATATGATATATGATACAATATATTCGCTGGCATTGAACCATTCGAAAGTTTATATAAAGCTATTATTTTCAAAAAAAAAAGTTATAATATTAATACTATAATATGATACATTATAAAATAATAGTGAAGAATTATTCTACTCAAACATGTGGAGAAAGATGATTAGAAGGTAGAATTTTAACTTTAGCCTAACTTTTGTTGAGAACTTAAAAGGCTATTTAACTATGCTTTCTTTTGTCATCTTCCCACTATGAGTCGACAATCATTATAAAAAAACTCCTTTTTTAGTATAGCTTAATTAGTAACCGCTGATTACATTATTCTTTAGGTTTAAAAATTTATATTAGTGCATTAAAGTTAAATCATGTTCCTATTTGGAATAATAATATTAGTACTGATTTAAAACAAACACTACGCTATAGATCAAACAACACAAAATCAAGAATCTTTTCTGGTGTAATGTTTTTTCAATTAATAACTTGAAAGGCCACCCATTTTATTGATTCGTTATCTTCGATATACCTGCAAAAAAATCCCATTGCCGGCCTGTTGTTACAAAAAAAAAACATTTTTTTCTTTCACATAAATTAGTTATGGCATCAGTATTGAACTCTTTAACTTGTTATACAACATGGGTAAAGCTATAATTTTTATGATTTTTACAATGTCTATGAATATGATTAAAGCCGAAACTTGCAAATCCGTTGATAAGGGTCCTGTAATCCCAACAACCCCTTTAGTGATTTTTCTTGAAAAAGTTCAAGAAGTTGCTCTTCAAACTTATGGCCATAAAAGGGTTGATGCTAAACTGTTTGTTGATATGTCACTGAGAAAGAATCTTTCAGAAACAATTGAAGCTTTTAATAAGCTTCCAAGAATTGTGAATGGTTCAGTATCAAAGAGTGATTTGGATGGTTTTATTGGTAGTTATTTGAGTAGTCCTGATGAGGATTTGGTTTATGTTGAGCCTGTGGACTTTGTGGCTGAGCCTGAAGGCTTTTTGCCAAAGGTGAAGAATTCTGAGGTGAGGGCATGGGCATTGGAGGTCCATTCACTTTGGAAGAATTTAAGTAGGAAAGTGGCTGATCATGTATTGGAAAAACCAGAGTTGTATACTTTGCTTCCATTGAAAAATCCAGTTATTATACCGGGATCGCGTTTTAAGGAGGTTTATTATTGGGATTCTTATTGGGTAATAAGGTTAGTATATTTCCTTGCCTTTTTGTTTTAAATACAGTTAATGGTCAAAAACACATATTTGCGAGTTTGTTTAATTATCAGGTATACACTTTGTGTGATAATTATGGTAGGAAAAGTGAACACCAAATGATTCGGGTAGGGAAATTGCAAAAACGTGATACTTTAGGTGTTTTTGATCCTTATCATGAACTAAATTGGTAAATTTGAAGTGAAAATGTAAAAAAGGGAAATGATAGAAGTTCAGCTCACACTATTCACAAGATTCAAGTGTGTTGCTTCCTAGAGAGGTCATATTGTTAAAATCTGGACAATAAAGAATTAGTGTGAATGTACAGCTTTATCCTCCGCAATGTTCCATTCTTTTGTTAGATCTTCAAGTATTGAGGTTTCTAAACACAACTTCACGTTCAGTTAATATAAGTATATACTTGAGACATGCCTTTTTGAGTTATAAGTAATGTTTTCTTTGTTCTATACTTACATTAACTTGTCGAATAACAATCAGTCTCATCCTTAAGTGTTTTGTATGAAGTGATGATGCTTGCAACGTTGCATTCTGTGATACTTCCTGGAGTTTGTGTCCCAATAGTTCTCTTTTTCTATGAGAATGTCTTATGCATTAAACATATTTGTTGTGATGCAGGGGTTTGTTAGCCAGCAAAATGTATGAAACTGCAAAAGGGATTGTGACTAATCTGGTTTCTCTGATAGATCAATTTGGTTATGTTCTTAACGGTGCAAGAGCATACTACAGTAACAGAAGGCAAGCATTCATACATATTGATTCATAAAACTTACAGCTTTTAAGATGCTTTCACTGGTATATATTGCCTTTATGCAAAAGTTTCGGATTCTGGGGGGTATTTCAAACCAATTTTGAATGGTGAATTTTTTCTGTCAATAGAACCAATAGAACGTGCAAGCCAGTTAACTTCTGAATTTAACCCTAATTGAATTGCACACATAAAATGTTGCAGAAGGTGGCAATATCTAATAACACACCTAAAGGTGTAGCCTAGTGGTCAATAAAATGTTTTGACAACCCTGAGGTATTTGGTATAAATCCCAAGAGGCAAAAAGGCTAGATGATTTTTTTTCACTTTTCCAAGCTGTGGTGGATAGAGTTACCTGTAGATACACTGGTGGGATGTAGCAAGTAGTTGGTGGAATTAGTTGAGGTGCGCACAAGCTACTTTGACACCATTATTATTCAAAAAAGAAGAATTTGCAGAGGGAGTAATTGTATCTCTTTCATATCTTAACTATTTTTCTGGAAAATCAGGATGTGATCTTTGCATTTGGGTCTTTTTTTTACTGCAAGTTGTCCTCTCTCTAGTATTTCTGTTGTTTTCTTAAGGGGTGAGGGTGGGGTGTTGGTTGGTGGCTAGAAAACTTACTAGGGCTGACTATATGTTAGTTACTGTTGTCATCTATTTTCTCTTTTCATGCTGTGCAAATTCTTATTATATCTTATGTTTCACGTGTTCAGTCAGCCTCCTGTCCTGGCCGCGATGATTGTCGACATATTCAATCAGACAGGTGATTTAGATTTGGTTAGAAGATCCCTTCCTGCTTTGCTCAAGGAGAATCATTTTTGGAATTCAGGTACTATCTTGTTTTTTGTCGGTTCCTATTAAATAGTCTGATGCCGTTACTTGTGAATTTACTATAGTTTTTAGGCTTTGTCATGGTTCTTTTGGCTGAATTGCGTTTTGTTGTGGAAGCCTACGGTGAAGACTTTACTCATTTGTCATTGTCCACTTATTTGTTTGTTTAAGGAATACATAAGGTGACTATTCAAGATGCTCAGGGATCAAACCACAGCTTGAGTCGGTACTATGCTATGTGGAATAAGCCCCGTCCAGAATCGTCAACTATTGTAAGGCTCCGCAACTCATATTCCTGACTTGGTTTTATCATGACCTTTGTACAAGGGTAAATTACAGGTTCTAT